AAAAGATTTGACAAGTTTATGTTGCGGCAAGGGTACAAGAGAAGCAAGTACGATCATTGTGTGCATTTGCGCAAGCTTAAAGATGGTTCCTTTGTATATATTCTCCTATATGTTGATAGCTTCCAAGAATTTGGAAGAAATTGATAAGTTGAAGATTCAACTGAAGAAGGAGTTCGAGATGAAGGATCTGGGTGAGGCAAAGAAAATTCTTGGCATGGAGATAATAAGAGATAGACGTTCAAAGAAACTCTGTTTATCTCAGAAAGAATATTTGAAAAGAGTACTACAACGTTTTGGCATAGATGAAAATACTAAGCGAGTTATTACTCCACTTGCTCCCCATTTTAAGCTAAGTACTACTATGTCGCCGATAGATGAAGCTGAACGAGAGTATATGTCAGAGGTACCATACGCAAATGTTGTTGGTTGCTTGATGTATGCGATGGTCTACACGAGACCTGACATTTCACAAGCTGTTGGAGTTATTAGCAAATATATGCATAATCCAGGAAAGGAGCATTGGCAAGCTGTGAAGTGGATTCTACGGTATGTTCATAATACTGTAGATATTGGGTTGGTTTTTGAGCAGGAAGGCAATCAGTCTATAGTTGGATATTGTGACTCAGATTTTGCGGGTGATCTAGACAAACGAAGATCAACTACTGGTTATGTGTTTACTTTTGCTTTATCATGCAAGGACGAAGCACATTGATGTTCGATATCATTTCGTACGAGAAATCATTGAAGAAGGTGGAGTCACGGTGAAGAAAATTCATACTACAGAGAATCCTGCTAATATGCTGACAAAAGTGGTAACTGCGGTCAAGTTTCAACATTGTTTGGATTTGATCAACATTGTTGAACACTGAAGATTGAAGATGAAGACACAACCAAAATTTGTTACTGAGAGAAAATTGAAGATGTGGAATTTTGCAAGGTGGAGATTTGTTGATTGCCAAAGTCCCAATCGGTTGTAGGCAAAATGTTTATGGAAATTTCACCTATAAAAGGAGGCCTAATGTTTAGGATTGAAACACACCTCTCATTTGCTTTCTTATCTTCTTAAAGCATTTGTATCTTCTCTCTTTTAGTATTATTTCACTTGTATTTTTGGAGTAAAATAAAATATTGGTTGTGTCCGAGGAAGTAGGCAAAATTGGCCGAACCTCGTAAATTCTAGTGTTCTTTTTATTGTTGCTTTATTGTCTTATTTATTATTTGGTGGCTGCCATAATTTTTGGTATAGTAGTTGTGACTCATTCACACTATATACATTTGGCTTCCGTAACAGTATTATGTTAATTCTTTTCAACTACCTTGCTTATACTCTCCAAAATGCCGTATCCTCCAAAAATACACTACATTTGGAGAATCTGACACTCACCAGATGACATTTTCGGACAACCTGAATAACATAAAGCACTAGTACTGAGGTTCCTTATTCAAATGAACTAATTGTAGCTGATGTAACACTTTCAGAGGCTTGGTTTTGCCCTCGTCTCACTATACCAATCTCTGATGATATAAAATCCACCTTCAAGGTCCCATAGTGGGGACTTGAGTGATTTTTTTGAAGGAAAAAACAAAGAATGTTTACCCTTAGATTCAGTTTTTAAATTCTGGTCTTTCTCCATTATAAGTGGTTGACTGATCGACATTTCAAATCATTTCTGAGATTTATTTAACCTTTTATGGTGTTACATATTAGCATAACGGTCATAAAACTGGCGACCTTACAATAACACTTAGTTGGTCAATATTTTTTGTTTGTCTTGATATCTTTTTTTCTTCAGCCATTAGTTCAAAGTAAAGAACTAAAAATCAAAGGATTGCTACTTAATATTCTATTTTCATAATGAAGAAGGGAAACTTCACAAAATAAGCAAGAGTACTTTTGAGGTCTAAAGGCACAGTTTACTAATGCAGCAGGTTTGATGAAGGAAATTTCTACGCAATATTTTGCTTGAAAACATAAGTCATTGATTTTCAAACTGTTGAGATAACATTGCTAATAACATTATTTTATGGAGAAGTATTGAAACGAAAAAGACATGAAAACTGAAATGCTCTTTACTTTTTCTTTATTAGTTTGTGAGAAAACTCCATGAAATTACTCTCAAAAACACTCCTTTTACTTTGCACCTTTTGAAGAGAAACTGAACAACAAATGCCTTTTGTATGCATTTCTTATGTGTTATAAGGGTCTTATATCCAGCTTAGAATGAACATTAATTTTGTTTTCTAGGTATTTAAGCAACAATCTAGAGCAATCTAATTTTATTTTGAATAAAATAGTTTGAGTAATAAGAAAAGTGGTCAGCACATTTTCCTATAGCAATAGACATGCTGATGCAAACTAAAATTACTTTATTGAAGAAAAAAAATGAAATATCTTTTTTTCTCATTATCCCCTGTTTTGGTACAAAGAAAGTGATGTGTCGTGAATAATAGAGTAAAGAATATTTTACTTTTTGAAGGAACAAAAACTAATTTCTATTTTCCTTTTTTTTAGGGTGTGGAGGGGGGATGTTCAGAATTCTTATTACATTGGTTACAAAAAGCAAAATCATATACTGAAACTTCGCCATAGCACGATTCCAGTAATTCAAATTGAGAATAGAGAGCAAAAGAAAGAGCTCTGCTTCTCTTGATGAGCAGAACATATGAAATGCGTATTCAAGTGTGAGAAGTATGCGTACTCATCTGAAGTAACATGAGCTGCTAAAAATGCAGCTAAAGCAACTATACGTTTTTATGTTCAAACCAAGTAATGAAAGCCTGAAAGGCCATCAACCGTCATGTAGAATAGCATAGGTGGTTCAGTTTTATACTTTTGAGCATATTATTACTAAAATATTAGAGCATTACCTTTTCCTTGATGAATGTTTCATTTATACTGCAACCGCAAATATTCCAGCTAATCCATCTGCCCCCAAATACAATTAAGTCCTATTATTAAGAACAATAATGTAATTATTAGATGTAAATTCCAAATAAGCATATCAAGAAAACGTTTCCAGCCATTCAATCTCAAAATTATTATAAAGTTTTCATATACTACTCGTGAACTCAAAAGAAAGAATCATATCTTATCAAGCAAATCGTTGTAAGCATATGATGAGATTTAAGTCCATACTTCTGAACTCTCCAAATATTTAGGTGGTACTTATATTCGCCCTCTTTTATCAGTAACATCTTTGTCATTATTTTACTATTGTTGAGTGCTAGTATAACATCAAGTTTCAAAGCAAATAAAGAAGCTTTTGAAAGATTGTGAAGTTTCTTCGTTACTATAGTAACTACACAAAATGAATTTAAATCATCATAATTTCAAGAAATGCATGTTCTTAAGGAAAGCTATATAGAAAACTAATAAGTTTGACAACCATTTGTTTGTAGAAAATCTGGATAGCACTCCACAGGTTGAACTCACTTGAGTACAGGGAGAAAATGAAGAGAGCTATTAGCACAAATTATGCTTCCTCAATCAGTCTCATATGTAAAGTATGGACATATTTAAATATACCAATAAGCAAGAGGCAATTGCAATTACTTGTACGCAAATCATATCAGGATTTAATCCAAAGAGTTCTTCACAAATAGTTTTTCTACACTGGTCAATGTCTCTTTTTATTTTTATTTTTGTGGTAAGTGCATCTAAATATCGTGCTTCTTATGCATGACAATCCTTAGAAAAGAATATCAATGAGATTTCAAGTGCCCCGTCTCCTTTCTATGATGCTAGTGGAAAGTACATATTTTGAAGAATAGACTTAATTTATTCAAATATCAAATTCTTCTAAGCAAAAAGAAGGTATATTCTTGAGTTCTCTTTTAAGCTTGTCTTCCACGAATAATCAGTGCAAATCACTATAGTTTCATCATCATGGAAGCTAACACTATTTTCATCCCTTAATACCTTGATTCTCATCTCACCCTGTTTGTGTGCAAAACTTAAGTTCAGAAAGCAATTTTACAAACACCTAGTAGGCAAACTGAAAGCAGAGCTGCCTATGGAAAAAAATTGAAATCTAACAAATAATTGGTGATTCCTTAGACTTATTAAACCCAGAAGTTTCACACGAAGAAGAAGAAGAAGAAGAAGAAGAAGAAGAAGAAGAAGAAGAAGAAGAAGAAGAAGAAGAAGAAGAAAAGAAGTAATTACCTCCAAACGCAGCGATCAAATCTTAGAGGTAGAGCAAATTCAAGAGAGACCCAAATTGAGAAACAGAGAAAATTTTAAGAAAAAGAAATACAAACTCAGAGAATTCAAATTCGAACAAACAAAGAATCTTTAGGAATCAGAAGCATCAACTTTGATACTTGGTGAAGGGGTTACTCCACAGCAAGAGAAATGGGCGTGAACACTACAGGAACTACACGAAAATAATAATCTGAATCACAAAGATGAAAAGCAGACGATTTAGACTTTTATGCAATTTGGGGAAACTCTCTCTCCAAAGTACAACATGTGCAATGTAAAGTATAATTTATTGCTGCGTAAGATAAATTAAAAAATTAAGTTGAAATGATCAAAGTGCCCCTGGGTAAGCTGGCATGACGCTTCCAAGCGGCTTCTATATATGAAGAATATCAATTAGAGTCTTATCTTATATTTGTAATATATAAAAATTTTAAATATTTTTATACGGTTCGGATTATTCAAATCTCAACTATCAACATCAGTAACAAATTAAATTTTCTTTTACTTTTCTATATTAAAAATTGTATTTTTTAACCTCAAGATAATCAATTTTTTATATAAAAATTAATTTTAAAATTTCTATAATGAAAAATGGGGCCTCCAAAATTTGGGGGCCAAAAGCGACTTCTTTCCGGAATAATGTGCTTTGTAGCGACTTTAATTACCACACGAGAAACATCGCAGTAAAGCATGAGTATTAATGAAACCGAATATTAACCTAGAGTTGGAGACAAAAAAATATGGTTGTAGAGTAATTCTCACCGATGTTTGTAGAGTTGAGGCCTGACTTTACTTTCTTTTTTTTCTTCTTCTTTTTGTGTGGTTAAATTAAAACTAAATGCTTTAAAATGAAAATGGCAACTCAATTGCGCAACACCTTTGTTTATCTTTACTTTTTCGGTGATGTGAGATAAAGCAAGTAAATAAACAAAAAATAATGGGTGATCGACTGAGAGAAACCGAGAAGGAGAAATAATAGTAGTAGTGAATTCTCCTGTGTATATAGGACTAGTGAGGGTTAGCCCGAACTAAGCCCGGACCCAACGTCTATTTAGTATTGTTGTTAATATTATTTTTAGCGATAGATTTATGCCTTTGAGAGCTACTTACAACAGGTCCACCATCATTTTTTGTAGAATAGAGTTAAATGTGTGAGCAATATGTATTTATATGAATATTTTGGGTTCTTTGCCTATTCAACTAAAACAACAGATAGAAAACATAGAGTCGCAACATAAACGCACACACCTCCACATGAGAAACTCCACTGAATTAATCAGATTCTAGCAAAATTGGAGCTGTTAAGCTAGTAAATAAAGAAAATATAGACAAAATCACTAAATAACCTGTGATTTTATCTTAGAAGCAATATTAATTTTTTTGCCAGATTCAGAGCCAGAGTTAAAGGCAATTATGCAATATGGAAATTTAACATTAGGATGTCCGACTCTGAATCTCACAGCTTTTGTTGAATAAAGAGGAAAACCAAACTAGAGATATGTTATTACAAAATCATAATATTTCTGGTTAATGAGAAAAAAAACCAAGCCGAATGAACAAATCCATAACATCATCAAAAATAGAACTTGAGGTGAAACCTTGAAATGGTTGCACATGAATTATGAAATCAAGCACAAACTTTGATATTAATTCATATGTTAGTGTCTCAGGAAATGTAGGATCAATTTCTCCTCTACTTGTCCAGTATGAAGCCCTGCAACCAACTCAGTCACTTGGTTCTAATGTATTCAGAATGTTTTCTTCATGATAGTTGTCAGTGCTTGATGCAAGGATTGAATTTGTTAAGCAATCGTACAATTGGAAAGGGATTTTGCCATAAACGTATAAACTCTGTGATCCCAGTTCAGATATAATACTCTGTAGATTTTTCAGGCTGAGATACCACTCTGGGGTACAATTGTGCTTTTAACTTCCATCATATTTGCAACACCTGATATTTCAGGGAAAGCTATGATTTCGATGAGGGAAAGCAGAAGGCTACAAACTTCTATAAGATTGTAAATATAATCCTATCATGTTTGCAGTTTACAGAGTAGAACAATAAATACTGGTACACTAATCTCCCATTATGTATAGGATCAAGGGCAGAGCTGAAGCACAGTTGGTCTATTGTGTAAAGTCTAACTACCTTGCATTTCTAAAGGGATTTTTTTTGTACCTTAAACTGGTAATATCTTGGCCATAAAGATTACCCTATCAAATGAAATGAATAAAACAATAACAAATCATGAAAAATAAAGTTTCTCACAGTGAAACGAAATGAAAGGTGGTCTTAAAGAAACATCTATAGATATGCAATGATGTTATTAGGGTTATCTTAGAGGAACCTCCATAGATCTACAATAATGTTATTACTACCGGAATATAATAGCAAATGGTTGGTGACAAATGATCACTTTTTCTCTACAAAACGTGTTTGTTGAATTCCTGATTATACAACTTCACATCTGCGGTATACCTTTTTATAGCAGACCAACTGAAGTCAATAAACATGCAGAACATTAGAAAGAATGGATTTTTGGACCTTTTCTCATTTGAAAATCCATTAACCTACAACTTTAACGCTACACTCACCGTAAAATCATATATTTACCTAATGGAATACACTTCAACAGAAGAAAGAAGTAGTAGAAATTCCAGTACAAAGAACAAGAAAAGGAAAGAAAAGTAGTATGTCGAGTGCAATCTTTAACCTAACTAGAAATAAAAAGAAATCTAGTTATCATTTTTTCTATGCGATTATTATACTAATACTTCTAATATAATGTCAAAATAAATATGTGCTTCAATAAACAGATTCTTCAAATTTCCATTTAGTATAACAAGACACCTATGACGTAAGGATGAACAAACTCAATTATTATGATGCTGACGTAAGAAGATAATATTACGGACGAAAGATACCAAGATTGAGTTAAAGCAGGACAAAAGAAAACAACACAGGCGATTAGGAAAATCTGCAGTAAAGCTATTACTGTCGAATACGAAAGAATATTGTTGAATAAGAGATAGGCTCTTTCAGACTGCAGATTAGACTTATCATGCTGATTCACCTATGTGATACGAAATACACTCATCAAGTGAAAGAGATTTCTATTTCGCTTTGATGATGATGTCAGCAAATCGGTTCTTCAACATTGTAGGATGTAGCGCATTGCTCAGGGAAAGATCAATATTCATTTTTTTGATAAGGTAGAAAAGATCAATGTTCATAGGAGGATGTCAACCTATTTTCAGAAAACAGTTATCGGTAAATTAAAATTAAGTTCATTTTGAGCAAAATATGAAATGCCAGAAAGAGAGCAAGCAAGATACTTCACGTCACCATATGTAGAAGTAGAAGCACATGTTGACTTACTTGGTCTAGACCATGATTTTTTCTTAATAAAGGTTATGTCAACAACCTGCATATTATCGACATCAACATGTCAATAAAGAACATTAACATTTTATTGAGCATGTTATTGGAGAAACGTAAAAAGTTTTTGCAACTACCATGGTAGTATGGATCAGTTTTACATGAAACTGATGTCAAGGAGTTTGGATCAGTGCTAGTGATCTTGATCTTGTTCTAGCTTTCTTTCTATTAAAAAATCTGAACCACAAAGATAAGTACAACTTTTTATTAGCAGTTGAAGATTTGGCACTGCAAAGCCACTGAAGAAATAACTTCAGTTGAGTGGGAAAAATGTTCAATTGCCTTTTCTTTTTATTTGCACCGGGTGTCCGAGTCTCCGGGGGTGCACAGGCCTTCGACAAGGAGTTTCCCGCAAGTGCACCACGATTAATTCAGGTTTTATCCAGTCCGATGGCCCTCGAAAATTGTTTGCACCCAGTGGGTTTTGAACTTGAGACCTTGAAAGGGAGCAAACCCCAAGGCTCAAGTCAATTGCCACCAGGCCAACCCCTGAGGGTTGAAAATGTTCAGTTGTTAAGCATATTGTCAAGCCATTTAGCTGCATCAAAGTTCACCTTTGTTTCAACAAAACATCATTAGGTACTCTATTCTTTATAGCTACCAAAATAAGAATGCAACAGAGAACTCATACAATGACAACAAATACACAGATTGTAGGATAAAATGTAAGTAAATAGCAACTAATGCATTAATTTTGATAATCACCTAATATTTATAGCTTAAAGATTGTCAATCAACTATAAGACAATAACACTATTTTATGAAATTTATACACTAAATACAGATCTGTGCTTTTTCCTTGGCCAAGTCTATTGAAAGGATTAAATTATTTCCAGTAATAAATTACAGTAAGAGTAATAAAACTTAAGTGATTCTTACCGAATCTAATGAGTGTACACCATAGTAAATCACTTTGGAAAGTTGACAATGACCTGAACTTAGTTATAGCTTAAAGATCATCAAACTGTAAGACAATAATATTACTTTGTGAAATTTATATGCTAAATATAGATCGGTGCTCTTTCATTGCAACCAGAAGCAAAACACAAAAAATATTTTGGCAAGGGGATGTTGAGAATAAAATAGAAAACATGAATGGAAAATATGTTACGCCCTGTTGTTGATACCCAATTTTTCCCTATGTATTTCTTTTACATGCAAATACTTTCAAATATCATG